TACTGACTTTTGATCAGTAATTAATTTGAAATATCTTCCAATCAAAAAATGCCTCCATTTCTTCAGTGACTCGACGATGGCTTGTGCTTCTTTTTCTACTGCTGCGTACCTTAACTCACTCTTAGATAGCATTCGGGAGAAAAATGCTACTGGCCTACCAGATTGACTTAAGCAAGCAGCTATTGCATGATCTGAGGCGTCAGTTTCTACTACAAAAATAGCATCATGATCAATAGATGTAACAACCGCATTAGATATATCTTTCTTGATATTTTCAAAGTCATTAATTGCATTTTCTTCAAGCGGGAATGATTTAGAATTGACAAGACTGTATATTTTTTCGGAAAATCGTGGTACCCACTTTGAATAATAAGAAAACATCCCAAGTATTCTTTGCAAACTCTTGACTGTCGTGGGCACTGGTAATTTCACTAATGATTCTAGTCTTGATGAATCTGGCCTGATATTTCCATTTTCAATTAAGTAACCTAGTATAGCGCATTTCTTTGAAAATTTACTTTTGTTTTTGTTTATTGTTAATTGATATTTTTCCACAGCACTTAAAAATTTGTGTAAATTTTTGTCATGTTCGGCTTGATCTTTGCCACATACAGTAATATCATCCAAGTAAGCATAAGTACCTGAAAGATCTTCAGTTTTTACGATATCGTCAATTACTCGCTAAAAACAAGCCACTCCGTTTGTTACACCAAATGGAACTCTAAGAAACTCATAAAGCTTGCCATCAGCTTCGAATGCTGTGTATTTTCTTTCTTCTTCACGTAGGGGTAGTTGATGATAAGCACTCTGTAAATCTATAGTGCTAAACACCCTGTATTGTGAAACAGCGTTAACTATGTCCTCTATATTCGGCAATGGATAAGCATCTAGGTATGTAAATCTATTAATTGTTTGCGAATAATCGATAACCATCCTCTTCTTATGATTTTCGTTTTTAGTTACGAGAACCTGAGCTCTCCATGGTGAGTTGCTTTCTTGTATTATTTTTTTAGAAATAAGATTTTTAATTTCTTCTTGTATGAATAATTTATCCTCAAAATTATGATGTCGAGATTTTGTAGCTATTGGACTACCGTTAGAAGATAAATTGGCAAAAAGAGTTGGGCAACAAACTTTAGCAGGAGCTAATGAACATAAGATAAGAGGAGATCTGGAACCACCAAAATTGACTTCAATTTTCGAATGTTGCGACAGTATATCATGACCAATGATTATATCTGCACAGAAATCTGGTAATACGGATATTTTAATTTGATCATACTTATGGCCTAAGAATTCCAAACTAATAAAACAATGTCCACAAATTTTTGAGAGCAAAGCTGTTGAAGCCATACTAATTTGTCCTTCACTTGGTAGTAACTCTATATTTGCAGATTGGGTGAAGTTTTTACTGATAAAAGTTTCGGAGCTTCCTGTATCTACAAGTGCATCACAGGTAAATTTATTAATAATTTTAATTTTAATCAAGGATTTATGTAAACAGTTTGGAGCAGCTGCTAAAACGTGGTAAAGGGGAGATATAAGAGAAGCTGATGTTGATACAGACTGAGACTTATTGTGTTGTTTCTTGGACATGCAGACTTTGCTAAAATGGCCTTTTTTTCCACACGTTTTGCAGAATATATCACGAGCTGGACAGATACTGCGAGAGTGTCTTCTATTCCCACAAAAGAAGCATTTATTGGAAGGAGTTATAGCAGCTATATTATTTTCAGCCTCAATTTGGTTGTTACTGTCTTCATTCTCTTGAACAGAGCATACCATACTAGTAAGATTATAAGCTTCAGAATGCTTTTGGGCAGACTCCAAAGATCTAGCTTGGTTCACAGCATCTTCAAATTTAAGTGTATGGTTTTCGAGTAAGCGCTGCCTGATATTATTCGAATGTAACCCAGTAATAAAAGCATCTCTCATATAGTCTCTTTTATTTTCTTCTGCAGAAACGGCAATAAATTTGCATTCTTTTGCCAGTTGAATAAGAATTTGAATATACTTATCTATAGATTCATTAGACTGTTGCTTCCTTGTAAATAATTGATATCGTGCAAATATTTCATTCTTTTCTTTGATGTAAACACTATTTAAAACTTGGATTGCATCGTTGTAACTCGTACATTCAGAAATATAATCATGAATAGAAAAACTCACATAATTAATTAAAATATCTAGCTTGGATCTTTCCGAAACATTTTCAACAGTTGCAATAAAATTTTCAAATGTCTTTAGCCAATGCATCCACTCCTTAGCTGCGTTTTCTGAATTTGGATCAGCATTAAACCGTTCAGGTTTCAGAAATTTATCCATTCGACTATGATGGTTTTTAAAATTTTCGCTAAATAAATTGTAATGAAGGAAACCTTCTAAAATAAGGCTTTATTTAGCGAAACTTGACATACAAAATAACATAATAATAATATACATCAAACCTTAGAAACAAAGTTCATAGAGTAAACTCTTTAGGCAAATTCACTACATTAGTTCACTACAGATACCTTGGACACATTGGCCGGAAGTAAACCATTCTCTACTTTAGACTTGAAATCCTGGATATTGGCAGGTGGAAATGGACCCCGTAGACAAAGAAAATACAGCTTTTACCACCGGATCTGGATTGTGGCAATTTAATGTGATGCCATTTAGACTATGTAATGTCCCTGCGACATTTGAAAGACTTATGGAAAATGTATTGAGAGGGTTATCATGAAAAATGTGCCTGATATATTTAGATGACATTATAGTCTTGGAGAAGTCATTTGATAAACATCTAAAGAACTAAAGAGATGTTTTTAAAAGACTTCAAACTGCCCAACTGATGTTAAACCCCAAGAAATACCAGATATTCCAAAATAAAGTCAATTACCTTGGCCATATAGTCCAGTAAGGACGGCGTGACTGTAGATAAGGAAAAAGTTGCTTCAATCAAAGAGTAGCCACAACCAACAAATAAGAAGTTTTCTTGGGATATGTACGTACAATCAAAGATTTAATAGGAAGTTTGTAGATATTACTAAGCCACTAACACGACTCACAGAAGAATCGAGAGAATTCTGCTGGGACGAGGACTGCCAAACTGCCTTTGAATAATTAAAGAAGCATTTAACAATAGCACCAATACTAGGCTACCCACTACCAGAGAGAGAATTTATAGATACTGATGCTAGTAATGTGGGAATTGGAAGAGTGTTTTCACAAATTCAGGAAGGGAAAGAAAGAATTCTAGGTTATTTTAGTAAAGTGCTCTCGAAATCTGAACGAAATTACTGCGTCACAAGAAGAGAACTCTTGGCAGTTGTAAAGTGCGTGGAACACTTCTGCCAATACCTGTACGGAAGGAAATTTTTAATTATGCAACTCTAAAGTGGTTGATGCAATTTAAGAACCCGGAAGGTGCTATCGCCAGGTGGATTGAACGACTTCAAGAGTACGACTTCAAGATTGAACATCGAGCCGGAATAAGTCACAGAAATGCAGATTCTTTCTCTAAAAGGTTGTGTCCAGTACTTAAGTCAAATTTGGCTCAACGGTACTCTCTCATTCTTAAGGATGGCTTATTAAAGCAAGTACTTGAAAATGATGATTGTTCCAAAAACAGAAGACAGTTGGTCATTCCAAAGAGTAAAATAGCCGAAGTACTTCATCAGTTACACGACAGTCCTTTAGGAAGACATCTCGGTGTTAAGAAAACTCTTCAAAGAGTTCGGGAAAGGTTTTACTGGATGAACAGTTCCGATGATGTAAAGGACTGGTGTACGAAATGTACCACCTGTGCTATGAGTAGTGGACCTCAACAAAAAAAGAAGGCTCCTATGAAGCAATACAACGTTGGTAGCTCATTTGAGAGGATCGCTTTAGATATTGCTGGACTATTCCCAGTGACCGAGGATGGTAATAAATACATTTTGGTGGTAATGGACTATTTTACAAAGTGAGCGGAAGTCTACGCCTTTCCAAATCAAGAGGCCGCAACTGTTGCAGATGTATTGATAAAAAAGTTTATTTGTTGATTTTGAGTGCCCCTAGAGATCCATAGTGACCAAAGCAGAAATTTTAAAGGTCAAGTCTTCTTTCGTGAAATCTGTGAGACTACGTATGAACAAAACCAGAACCACAGCGTTGCATCCACAATCCGATGGAATGGTAGAGCGAATGAATAAGACCATTAGCAAATATCTGTCAAAAGTGGTTTCAAACTATCACCGAGATTGAAATCAGTATCTTTCGCTCTTTGCAATGGCTTATGATTCGCTGTCAATGAATCAACAGGTCAAACACTAGCAAAGGTCCTGTTTGGGCGTGAGATGAGACTACCGTGCGACCTCGAATTTGGATGCCAACCTGGAGAAGATGTAGCTGGTGAAGATTATGTGATCCATAACTATTTAACTAGTTTTCAATTGTAATAATTTATTTTTAATAAATTTTCCGTATATAGGGAACCATAATTATTTAACTAGCTTTTAAATGTAATAATTTATTTTGTTTAACCTCCCTATATATATATTTTTTTTAGAGCCGCCAAATCATCTAGTTTGAAATTTTTTTAAGCAAAAAAGTCCAATATTGCTTTTCCAATTGACTTTTGCCGTTCCTGTAGTTGGAGTTACGTGGCCAATATAGATAGATTCAGGGTTCCTTGATAAGCGATATGTCTTTGACAACAGTTTTCTTGTATAATCTAACGTTTTTCAACTATTTTCGACGGATCTTCTATGGTAATTATTTCTGCATCTTTTAATATTATCTATAATATGCAACTTCTTTTGAAATTGTTAACGATTAGAATGCATTTGTAAGAATTCGTACACATCCGGAAGGTGTTATACTTATTCATATAGCACCTGCTAGTTGTAAGTTGAGACTAAAAAGCTAAGCAAAAAAGACAATCACATCGTGTACTGTATAGCTTTCCAAAGAAACTGTTAATATGTTTAGTTTGTCGTGCAGTTTACCTATTTAGCGTAAAATTTTAATTTACCTACCTATATTTAGGATGACTTATCGCATATACATAAGGATCGATACACGCTACCAATTTGCAAGTCACGGCTGGTATCATAGAAACTCCAGGCGTTAATAAAGATTGATCTCCAAAAGCTCCGATCAGTGCTAAAACAGCATAAGGCGTCCAAGAGGCAACAAACAGAAAACAAACCGTTATCGCCGCCTTGGCTATTCTCAATTCAGCCGATTCATTTTGCTGTTGTTGATTAGCTCTTAAAGATTCTACATTCATTTTTTTCGCCTAAAAAATAAATATTGTTAGAAAATTCAACTTGTTTTTAATGTTGGTAATGGTAATTGTAAAAGTTGTAAGTTGTGTAATGATTAGAGGAGAGTGCTTTCTGTAAAATAAAAGTGTAAAAAATGATCCAAACCAGCACGCTGCAGTCAATGGAGAGCGTTATAGAACCATGATTTTCTATTCTAAGTACACACACACATATAAAAAATCTTAACATTCATACCATAACATACCTAGATCTGGCTTTCGCTGGATCTCGCATTATAATAGGATATAGGTTAAACCTCTATATGTGTATTTAAAATCTATATAATGAAGACATTATTATTTCACGAAAAGGTATTAAGGCCGCAGTATCACTGTATTTCTCATATAAAAAGCAAGGGTTCACCATTTCCGATTGCATTTAAATCCCGCTAAATGTATTAAAATTAATCTTCTACCAGCTTAAAGTATAAGGTTTGGAGAATGAAATCTCCTATTTTTTATTTGTCCTGTTTATACACTGAATTTTAAAAAAAATCATAAAAAGTGATTTTAAAACCAGAGGCTAAAAAGTAGGAGATTTCATTCTACATATTTTTCCAAGTATCCCGCCAAAATATTTCTAAATTTTATTGCGTATTTTTTAAATCTAACTGGAAATACGATTAACAAATATTTGATAAATTTATTTGTCAAATTAGAGATTTTCTATGAATTCCTGTAATTGTGTATAGTTCATGTAGTTCATCTATTTTTAAGAAGATGTCACCGTAAAAAACAATATAGCTACTCTATTTTAGAGATGGTTTTAATAGGTAAATGATTGTTTAGAGGTACCAATTTTTGAAAAAGTGATACAGCTGTATGCCGTCTTTTATTGTTTCGTGATTTTCATATATATTTGTCTCGTTTAGTTCCAAATTATCGATTGATTTTGCCTGTGTATGAACAAGTGTTGACCACGTTGCCAGATTATCGATTTATACGATAATTTCACAATTCTTTCTAGGACGAATTTGATTTTAAAGAGGGTGAAATATACAATGGTGAAATGCAGGAAAGGGAAGGAACTTTATTGCATTCCGATGTAAATTAAATCCGAATGACCTGGCATCATTGTATCATACGCACGTAATATTGGCGGTCTTTGCTTTCTTCTCCTGAATGTTATTTTATCTTTATAAGGAATCCTATTTCTGAGTTAACACGTTGACTGCTATGTGTATGTACCCATGTGTATGTCCTATTAGTGCGTAATTGTTCAATATTTTAATTTATGTTAAAGACACGCAAACATGTTTCAAAGAAAAGTTATATGGATTTAAAAAATACATATTTTAAAAATATTTTTAGATATATACAGGGTGCTACATTTTTGCTTGGTATATTTTTAAAATAGAACATGTGTTTTATTTCAATTTTAGAATGGTTTGGTAATACTGTATTCAACCTTAGAATAATTTAAAAAAATATTACAGGTCTGCCAAGCAATTAAATTTTTATAAAATTAGAAAATGATGCAGACCCCAAATTAAATTATCATAATTCAAAATTGTTTAATATACTGACTTATAGCACATTAAGATAACGAATAGTAGTGATAGTGCTGGATTCTTTTATAGCGAGTGTTTTGAAACATGTCTTAAAATGGTTACTTTTAAGTCAAATTACTCAATTTTTCAAAGGCAGCATTTGATATAATATTTTAGCATTTATAAATTTGCATATCCAACAATACCAACATGTTAGAGAATAACATATATTCAGAGTGTCTCATCAGTGCGTAATTGATCGATTGCTGTTTTATTATTAGAAATAAGAAAAAAAAATAATATAAAAGTTGTATGACCATATTAAAAATTATTCCTATATATACAGGGTGGTCCATAAACGAGATGTTGACCAAACCTATACATTTTTAAATCAAAACACCCTGCAGGTAGTTATACATATTTGATTGTTTTCACGTCGTCAAATAATTTTAACTGACTTTATTCATTTGCTATGTTCTATATAGAGTGTGTCAACACGCGAGGTTTCAAATGCTTAATTTTTTTTCAATGGAATATTATATTAATTGGTGGCATAACATACAAGGTGTTCCATTTAGAAAATTAAGAAAATCGTGACCATTTTCACACATCCTATATACAACATAGCAAATGAATGAAATTGAAATTATTGTTCGACGATGTGAAAACAGTCAAATATGTATAACTACCTGCAGGGTGTTTTACTTTAAAAATGTATAGGTTTGGTCAGACAATCGTTTATGGATTACCCTGTATATTTATAAATAATTGTTAAATATGGTCATACAACTTTTATATTAATGTTTTTCGTATTTCCTATTATAAAACTGCTATCGATCAATTACGCACTCATGGGACACCCTGTATATGTGTTATTGATATCGTTGGATATGTTAATTTTTAAGGAATTGAATGCTTAAATAATATACAGAATGAGGCATTTGAAAAAAATTAAATAAATTTAACTTGGAATTAGCCATATTTAAGACTTGTTTTTCAAAACACACTGTAAAAAATAATCCAGTTCTATTACCACTATTCGTTAGCTTACTATCTTATTACTACATTTAAAAAAAAATTTGAAATTATTTTAAACCTACCTAAATAATGATAATTTAATTTGGGGTCTGAATCATTCTCTAATTTCATAAAAAAATTAATTTATTGGCAACCCTGCAATATTTGTTAATAAAATTCTAGGGTTAAATACAGCATTCAAAAACTGAAGTAAAATACAGGGTTTTTTTTTTTTTTAAATATACCGTTTTATTTGTCAGACAAAACGCAAAACCCTGTATGTCTAAAAATATCTTTAAAATACCTATTTTTGAAATTCATATAACTTTTATTTAGAAATTGTTTACGTGTTTACAACACAAATTAAAATATTAAACAATTACGCACTAATGGGACAACCTGAATATATTATTCACAATATATGCACGCGACATATGTTTGTAATAATTTAATCTCGCGCCGCGTTTATATATTTTATTCATGCGTCTATTAGATATTGTAGTTTACCTAGACCCAACCACAACATTTGCTTCGGCAGTCAACGTGTTTTAAATGCTTTTTTATTAATTTGTTGTTTAATTTGTATTTAGTTATTAATATTTCAAAAATGCTTGTTTTTCTTATTGATTAATCTAAAATACGTAATTTTTATTTATAATTGAAAATAGTACTGTGTTACATGTTGATTTTAGTTTTAGAATAATTAAATAGGTATGGCATTTAAAACACATTCTTAGTATAAAGAATACTAACTTTTAATAAAATATTGATTTGTCTTGAATAAGAACCTTTGGTAATTTAAAGGATACAGGTATTTAAAATATATCCTTAATCCACATCATTTTTAAAAAGGCATTGCTTTGTTTTTGAATAAAACTTTTAATATGATTCAATTCATTGAACTTGTTGTCTTACCTTTTGCTTTTAAGATCCTGATGGTTTTATGAGCAGATAACGTGTAGCATAATGACCTGTGAGTATGCTGCTAGTATGTGGTAGTTATTTCACTTAGTTTTCACCCCTTTTAAATCACTATTTAGTTGTATTTTACGTTTGTTTACATTTTATTTCAATAATGTTTTGACATTAATTATTATATCCGAAATTCGGGTTATCTTCTTCTTTCTAGGAAATACCTGTCGTCTAGTTTGTACGGTCCGATAGCCAATTCTTGTTCCGTGGTACGAATTTGACAGATAACATTAATGGGATATTTGGTGTTGTGCTATTTGAAATCAATACATTTGATTGTCCATGACGGCATATTATATTAGGGTACTTTTCTAGGAAAATTGGGTTTAATACTTAACTATAGTTAGGAATAATATTTTATTAGGATGTTAAATACACACATAAATACATTTGGGGTCGAATTATATTACTTTAGATAAGTTTTCTGGTAACTCGTGGCGATCACCGGAAGTGTGATTTCCAAAATATGCATTGTCATATCCTACTTGTTGAAGCCATCTTGACTTCAGAAAAAGGGGTTAAATACGCCGTAGCCATGAGGTTCGTGGTGAATTATTTTTCGTCTGCTTGCTGGGTAAGGTACCGGGGGTACGTGTTTGAGTTTGACTGTTCGCCTGGGTCGTCGCGAAGCCCGTGTATAATAACGAAACGTTCGTCGCCGATAGTGATCGGATTACAAATCACGTGGCAAAATCGCACAAGGGTAGGTACCCTAAACCAGTTTTGGGAGTCTTACGACCGCGGTGAGCGAAGTCTGCTAACGGCCCGTACTACCGACTTCCTACATCAGATCTCCAGAGGGTTGTTGTCAACGACCTCGTTTAATTTCGTCCGCAGTCGCTGTGCTGTACCAGTGTTCCGGAAAATTCCAGACGCATCAGGGTGATGCGCTGTGATTGTTACGTAGTCCAGTTTTTAATCATTTGATGTCCTGCAGTCCTACAAGTTCTAAGCCAGTTTCCTGTCCGGGGTAATCGTAACCAACACCAGTGGTGGAGAGTTCCATCGCTTAATGGGTTTCTACCAGAAATCAGGTATCTGAACGTCTGTAAACCAAGGTATGAAAGACCTTCAATCTAATAAGTAATAACTTCAGTGAATCTAATAAATTTATATTTTGATTTATCATTTAACTTTTATTTATAAGAATAATTCTTTAATCGTATTACTTGTGCTTAAACTTAACCTGTTGTAAACCTTAGTGATCACGGGGTAATATTAATTGTGTCTTTTACTCTAATAATTTTGAATTCAGAGAATTTCTCCTTAACTTTAGTCATTTTTGTTGTCATTTTAAATAATTTTGTATCATAAAAAAGCTCTAGGTAAATGTATACCTATCTATTTGATCTATGAAATTTTGTAAATACCCGTATTCATTTTAATAGTAAATGCCATAATACCGACTCTGGCGTTTTATTTATTTAACTTTTAAGATAAACAGTATTACTAACTATTTAATGACCCACACCTTTTGTCCCGACAGCTAGCCGA